AGAGCAGGAAAAACAAGGGGGAGAGTAGGGAAAATGATTGGGGAGCAAGGGAAATGAGGGGACAGCAGGTAAGAGCAGGGGAAAGTATTGGTGACCAGGAGAAACAAGCAGAGAGCAAGGGAATGAGCAGGGGGATGGAGATGAACCCCTGGAGATGAGCTGGAGATATTGCCCTGCTCGTCTCTAGCCTCCTGCTCATTCCCCTGCTCTCCCCTGCTGTCCTCTCATTTCCCCTGCTCCCCTGGAACGAGCAGGGGATTAAACGGTTGCCTATTAAACGCAAAACTCCATGCTATATAAATGAGAATTCAGGTTCACTCATAAATTCATATAATTTGAGGGTACTGAATGCAATTTCAATTTAGGACCACATCAAGCTTTGACCTGCCATTTAAGACCTTACTCAGGTGGTTCGACATGATATTGGGCACCCTTGTAGAAATTATACTTCCCTCATCATTATTTATCAAAAGCTATGCAAATAACTGAATTATAACAGCAGGGTCAATGGGAGCAAAATTTAAGTCCTGTACTTCTTGCTTGATAACAGAGGTGTACTCCTCAGTGGGCACATCTATACATGACACTACATCACCATATGTCATACTATGGTGACATAGTATTGGTGGGTACAAACCCTGGTGCTGCAACCATGTCACTGTAGCAACACGCTCACTTGGTATAGTGCATTGCTATGGCAACGTAGCTGCTAAAAATAACTGTGCGCCACCAGCACAGTGCAGTAGAGGCTGTTACTGTGCCATCATTTAGTACTTCCAAAAAGAAGTACTAAATGGAAGTACTAAACGACAGCAAAGTACCAAAAGGAAGTACTAAATGACAGCAGAGTAACAACAACACCATAAGGGCACATGTAGATGCACCCAGTGTATACTAGACAGTGCAGAGGAAGACAACACTGCGTCTCCTGTTATTATACCTGGTATCAAAATGCTGGGTATTTGCACAACTCATATTTGTGGACACTGGATTTACAACCCAGATACCTTGTTCTGGGTGGACCCAAACCCTCAGACTGACCATGACCTCTCCATTTGATTATAGGTGAATTTTATTGTTACACAGAGATATCAGATAAAAATAATACAAACAATTCTTTATCTACTGGTCCTAGAGATGTCATCAGAGGGAAGGTATGTATGGATTGTATGCAAGCTTGACCCAGAGGTTTTTTCTTGAATGTTAAATGTCAGCAGTCTGGAAGATGGAGGGCAAGCCCCTCCCTCCTTCCCCCCCATGGGATGGGTGAGATGGGCTGGTGGTACACCCTCTGTCCATGGTGGCTTCTGGTTCCCCTCTTAGAGACCATTTCGGTGCTCTAAAATCCTTCCTTTTGTATCCTTTCTTCCTTCTGATGACTCTTCATTCTTGGGCATCACTGATTGGTCTCTCTGTAGTTGTCATACTGTCCACATTCTGTCCTATCAGCATATTCCTTTGTTTTACAAACCCCTCACACACACACACATCCTAATTTGGGCTTTTTTCTGGTCTTCTCTTAATTTGGTCCATTCCCTAAAATAGGAAATCTTAAGGGCTCTGCAATTGGGCACTATGACTTGTTTTCGCCCTATCTCATGTTATGGAACAGTGTGGAACATGTCTTCAATTTCTCAGCCTGTGTGTCTGCTGCTTAGCTGTGTCAGACACATTGGGCCTCGATGAAACTTTGTTACAAAACAGGCTTTTAAGAAATCAATTAACCCTTGCCATTGCCCTGGATCATTGTTCTAATGCATATCTACTTTACCTACAGGTTGATTCCCAAAAGTAAACCTCTAACTACCATTTTCTGGCCACCAATATTGAGATAAGCATTATAAACATGATGAAGCCAGCACGGTAAATCCTTCAGAATGGATGTCTTCTGTATGAGAAGCTAATACAGTTCTTACCAGCTTGGTATTAAGAAGACCACCTGGTAGAAGTGATTCTTGCAGAATCCTGATGAGTCCCTGCTTTGTGTTTCATGCACCATAATACAAGGATGGCATGTTCAGACTGGCTAAGTGCAGAGTTTTATCTCAGTCATAGGCTTACCTCCTCTATTTGTGGAGCCAATAGAGTCCACATTAGAGGTGACCCTTGCCATTCATGGGGGATATTTTCTTATATCCCCCTCGAATGGTGAAATTCATGAATAAGGCACTGCCCCCAGTGGCATGGGTCCAGCAGTGATGGTGGGAGCCCAGCAGCAGTGGCGGGAGGCTGGCAGCAGCAAATGTGTAGCTCCCAAGGAGCTCCTGTAAGTCTATAAAGTGTTTTTAAAATGCGGGTTTAGTATTCATGAATATTTGAAACTGCGAATGCTGAACCCGCAAATAGTGAGGGTTTCCTTTATTCCCATTCAAGAGCTAAGGTGAGAGTGTTTACTGCATCAGTGATTTGATAACTTTGGGTTTTGATCTGATCCCTAAGGAATACTTATATCCAAAGGCTTAGCCTTTGACTGAGATAAAACTCTCAGACACTCTGAGCATGCCATCCTTGTATTATGGTGCATGAAACACAAAGAAAGGACTCATCAAGATTCTGTAAGAATCACTTCTACCAAGTGGTCTTTTTTAGTACCAAACTGGTAAGAACTGTGCTGGTTTTTCAACTGTGCTAGCTTCTTACAAAGAATTTCTTACATTCAGAAGTTTGGCTAACTACATAGTTGATCCAATAAAAGACATCACTCTAAGAAATCCTTGCTTCTCTAAAGATTGCAGCAGACTCATAAAACAATTTTGCTTATATTGTCCCACCATACTGTTATCATGTATTGCAAAATCCCATTGACTAGAGAAATTTGTACTGAGGCTCCTAGCAGTTCAAATTAAACCATATAAAACTAAATCTGTAATTTTTAATTCTACTTCTGCAATTCTCTATTGTTTGAGCCACAGGGCAACAACTTTTGGCTCAAAGCAACTATCCTACTTATTAATCTCTATGTACCATATAGCCATTGGATGGAGACACAGTATCTCTCAGCATTAGCACAGGTTACATTTTTTTAAATTTGTGTTATTACTTATGTATGTCCCTATTTAGATAGAGATGTATATATTTCAACATTACATGAAAGCAAGAATGTTCATATTGGTACTGTAGGGTGTGGGGAAAAAAGCTTCATCCCCCCCCCCCCCCCCCACACACACACACACCCCACCACCACCAATAAAGTTTTTATTTATTTAACAAATAAGCAATGCCTATCATTCATGAAAAATATTAAACTGACAACACTGCTGAACTAACACATTTTGTTGTTATTCAAGAGTTCTATTTACTCGTGTAGAACTGTCTTCCCTATTGATTCACTTAATTTGTAAAACAAAGGAGCCATTTATACCATCAAGGTGAGAGAACTATGTAACTCTCACTGTATAAAGTGGTTGGGTACATGTGAAGATGTAGATCTTAATATCTAGAGTTCTGTTAACCTTCCTGCTGATATTGACAATGAGTCTAATTAAGTGAAAGTTGTACTTGTGTTTAATAAAAATGTTTATTTCTGGCTGCAATTTTAATTTTATTTGTTCTTGCATCTCCTCCTGTTAACAATGGATTCATAAATTAATAGCTTCATTCAGAAGGGGCCTTAGAAAGTCATTGGGCCCAGCCCCCTTCACCAAGCAGGAAAGGTAACAGGGGGTCAAATGACCCTAGCAAGGTGACTGTCTAGTCTCCTCTTGAAGATTTCCAGGGTAGGTGATTGGACCACCTCTGGAGGGAGATCATTTCACAGTCTGGACACCCTGACTGTGAAGAAGTTTTTCCTAATGTTGAGCCTGAATCAATCTTCTAGGAGTTTGCGGCCATTATTCCTGGTTTTCCCGTCAGGTGCCATGGTGACAGTTGCTCACCGAGCCCTTGATGTACTCCCCTAGTGTAGCAATAAGCCTCTACCAGGTCCCCTCTCCACCTTCTTTTCCTCAGGCTGAAGAGTCCCAGATCCCTCAGCCTTTCCTCATATGGCTTGCCTTTTAAGACTGTGATAATACGGGTGGCTCTTCTTTGGACTTTCTCAAGCTTCTCTATGTCCTTGTTAAAGTGTGGTGGCCAGAATTGGACTCAGTACTCCAGCTGTGGTCTCACCAGTGCTGAGTAGAGTGGAAGAATCACCTCCTTGGGTTTTTTCTGGAGATGCATCAGTTGATGAATGCCAGAGTATTATTTGCCCTACTGGCTACAGCATCGTACTCCCAGCTCATATTCATACTGTGGTCAATTTTTACCCCCAGGTCTCTTTCATTTGTGATGCTAGTCAGTTTGGTGCTGCCAAGCCTGTAGGTGTGTGTGTTTTTTTGTGCAGGATATTTTATTTGCTAACTTAGAGAGAAATATTTTCCTGTTTGCAGTATAGAAACAAAAGTTACAATAAATATGTCATTATTGTCATTGTTCTGCTAGCAAATAAGGATCCTGAACAAAAAATGAGATACTATTGCACTCCAGCATCTCAGAGGCCAAATTCTGTTCTACCTATGAGAAGTTTAAGTGGAGTTAGGCTTTTAAATTTGACTCTATTCTATTCCACTCAATCCACAGAAATCCATTAATGCATCTACTTCTATAACATGCCACCATCTGACTCTTAGGTCACAAAAAATAAGTGAGGAGAAAGAGGACCCGCTCACATTTTACATTATTTGTTTTTCAAGGACTTGATCAGGATAGAATAAAGTTGTATTTGCAACCTAAATCCACTTACATGCTTAGTAAGCAGAACAGAATCTGGCCCATGGTCTCTGTGAGTACAAGACCTATGTTTTTAACTAGGTCTTTTTTATGATATTTATTTTCATAGTCATTAGGTAAGTGTTAATTTCTTCATTGCACAAATGGGGAACTTAAGTACATGTAAAGATACTGCTAACACTTCCATGGAATAATTACAGACTTGTGTTCAAGTTGTACCTTCATTTCCAGCAATTGTTTGTTAAATAATTTAATATAAAACTGAGTTCATCCTAAGGATTTGTTAATAGTCATAGTACCTGAAAACTTATTTTCCTCCTCAGCACTCTCCTCAGGGCCTCCTTCACCACCTTGTTCCTCAGGCTATAAATCAAGGGGTTCAGCATGGGGATCACCATTGTGTAGAAGACTGAGGCTACCCGGTCTTGATCATGGGAATATCTGGAACTGGGTCGTAAATATATGAAGATCATAGTGCCATAGAATATAATGACAGCCACCAGGTGGGAAGCACAGGTTGAGAAGGCTTTGTTCCTGCCCTTGGTGGAGTGGATCCTCAGAATGGTGGAGAGGATATAAGAGTAAGAGCTCAGAATAATAAGGAGTGTTCCCACCATATTCAACCCAGCACAAAGGAAAATAATAATCTCATTCAAACTAGTGTCAGAACAAGAGAGCTTGAGGAGAGGGAGGCTTTCACAGAAGAAGTGATTAATGACATTGGAGTGGCAGAAAGATAAACTGGATGTAAAAATGGTATGTATCATTGAGTTCAAGAAACCTGCTGCATATGCCCCAACTGACATTTTGATGCACTTTCTGTGAGACATGAAGGTTGTATAGAGTAAGGGAATACAGATGGCCACATAACGGTCATAGGCCATTAACACAAAGAGGATGCACTCAGTAGTTGCCATAGCAATAAAGACGTACATCTGCACAAAACATCCAGTGAAAGAGATAGCTTTCTTTTTTAGCAGTATGTCCCTCAAGGTTTTTGGAGTGATAGATGTTGAATAGCAGAAATCTACAAATGACAAGTTACCAAGGAAAAAGTACATGGGAGTATGAAGCTGGGGATCAATCTTGATTAAAACAATGATCCCCAGATTCCCCACCAGGGTGATCACATAGATCACCAGAAACACCACAAAGAGTGTGACTTGCTGGTTCAGAAAGCTAGTGAATCCCTGGAAGATAAACTCAGATACCACAGTGTGATTCCTAACAGACATTTGTGCAGAAATACAAGTGGGATGTTAGAAACAGACCATACTGTTAGAAATACAACAGACTTGTGCCTGACTCACAATGGAGTCTAAAAATCATAAGATGGTGACATTTTATTTACAAGTTGTATGCTGCATAGTGACTAAAGGACATTTGTTGACATTCTAGTCAAGTTGAATAGTTTTTGAGAGGCAGATATACCCAAGCTTCAGCGCCACCCTGCAGAAATACAATAAAGAATATTGCAATGAGAATTGTCACGGCCATCAGAATACTTAGAATTTCCATAATAATGTACAAAGTTCATGGCTCTCAAAGATCTAAATTAAAATGATAAACCAGTTCAAATGAATGTAAAAAAACAATAAAAGTCTCTAGGGCCTCATTGGTGCTGAATGCACAGAGGGTGAAAGCCTCCTACAAAGGCTGGTTAGAAAACGCATTTCTTCAGTTTGAATTTTAAAGGGTGATGTTTTCACTAGAGGAGGTCTTTGGATCAGCACCTGGTGTGTCACCCAAGAAGGCAGAAATAACACCTTGACTTTCATGTTTTCATTTTAAAAACGATTATGTAACTAAGGATGATGGAAATTTTGTTTTTCTTTTTCAATAGGAAATGAAATCCAAGCAAGTTAATATTAGATTAGATTAGATCAGATTAGATTAGATTCTCCAAAGGTATTTTGCTTTAATCAAATCAGGTATTTCTATAGAATAATAGAGTAGTAGGGCTGGAAGGGAGCTCCAAAGGTTATCGACTCCAAACCCTGCCTGAGGCAGGATTAGCTCTATCCAAACCATCCCATACAAACCATAATCTAAATTCTATATATGGAGTTCATCAGTCCTGGCACAACACAAACCTAACACCCTAACCTGCCATAGGTAAAACACGGGAACCACAGCAGCCAACATCTTCCTTCTTGACCCCAAATGTAGTGATCAGTAGGGCTGTGCGAGGCTTCGGACAGAGCTTTGGATCCAGAGAAGCTTCAGATGCTTCGGGGATGGAAGCAGCACATCCGGGTCAAAGCGCTGCCTCGTTTGGCTTCCCCAAGCGGGTCAGAGCTTCTGAAGAGCTTCAGAGCCGCCTCGGAGCCGACTCGGAGATCTGGCCATAGGGTATAATGGGGAAACAATTAAATATCTATAACTTTGTTGTTTTGGGTCCGATTTGGATTAAATGTTCAGGGATGCTAGATTCTGCAGAGAGGATGAAGCCTGCCAAGTTTCAAGGAGATCGGTGTAGGGTTTTGGGGGGAACTGTACCCTAAATTCTTGAAAGCAAAACTCATGTTAAGTCTAGGCATTACAACATAGTGGGGTGAAAACTGTAGGGGTGGTATCTCTTACTGAGGCCACAAAGCCTGCCAAGTTTCAAGAAGATAAGTGCAGAGGCTTGGGGGGAACTGCCCCTCAAGCTGCAGACAAGCAAAAGTGGTGCCGTGGGTGCTTGTGGAACTGTCTGTCTTGGGGCGGGGAGTGGGGAGACAGCTGCAGGCCTGGCTGCTAAGCTGCTGTGTTACCAGTCACCAATCAATCATGATTCACTCAGGGACCAGCTCAATACAGAGGACCTATCTACTACATAATGACGTAATGAGCAGCAATTAGCACCTACAAAACCAGGCTAAGGAGAGGAAAGTCTCAATACAGACAATCAACTGCCCCAGGACAGACACAGTCTCTGCGCCAGTTTTGCCTGTCAGCAGCTAGGGGTGTAGGGCCCCAGAAACCAGAACCGCCCTACACCTATCTCCTTGACAGCTGGCAGGCATCACAGCAGGGGCCACCATCCCTGCAGCTGTCATCCTGCTGTGCCTTAGCGCACACAGTGTCACCCATGGCACGAGTTTTGCTTGTCCACAGCTTGAGGTGTAGTTCCCCCCAAACCCCTGCACCGATATCCTTGAAACTTGGCAGGCTTTGTGGCATCAGTAAGAGCTACCACCCTTGCAGCTTTGACCCCCCCCACCCCCCCATGTTGGAACACACAGCAGTGACATGAGTTTGGCTTTCATGAATTTGGGGTACAGTTTCCCCCAAACCCCTACACCGATCTTCTTGAAACTTGGCAGACTTCCTGCTCTCAGCAGAGGCTACAATCCTTGCAAGTTTCATCCAAATTGGAAAAAAAAACAACAAAGTTATAGATATTTCATTGATTCCCCATTATTCCCTATGGCCAGATCTCCCAGGCAGCTCCGAAGCTTCGGAGCCACTTCGGCTGGATCAAGGCGGAAACCCGGTCCAGAGCTCTGGATTGGATCATGGCCATCTGAATCAGCTGGATCCGAAGCAGGATCGGATCGCTGCCGACTCGCACAGGCCTAGTGATCAGTCTGACCCTGAGTAGGGGGGCAAGACCTTCTAGCCAGGAGCCTCCAGCTTGGTCACAGCAGGAGCATTGGCACACCCTAGTTGAAGTCCCCATCATTGGCTGTAGCCAACACACAATGCCTCTGGGAAGGCTTAAAAACACCCTTTGGAGTTCATCAGTCCTGGCACAACACAAACCTAACACCCTAACCTGCCATAGGTAAAACACGGGAACCACAGCAGCCAACATCTTCCTTCTTGACCCCAAATGTAGTGATCAGTAGGGCTGTGCGAGGCTTCGGACAGAGCTTTGGATCCAGAGAAGCTTCAGATGCTTCGGGGATGGAAGCAGCACATCCGGGTCAAAGCGCTGCCTCGTTTGGCTTCCCCAAGCGGGTCAGAGCTTCTGAAGAGCTTCAGAGCCGCCTCGGAGCCGACTCGGAGATCTGGCCATAGGGTATAATGGGGAAACAATTAAATATCTATAACTTTGTTGTTTTGGGTCCGATTTGGATTAAATGTTCAGGGATGCTAGATTCTGCAGAGAGGATGAAGCCTGCCAAGTTTCAAGGAGATCGGTGTAGGGTTTTGGGGGGAACTGTACCCTAAATTCTTGAAAGCAAAACTCATGTTAAGTCTAGGCATTACAACATAGTGGGGTGAAAACTGTAGGGGTGGTATCTCTTACTGAGGCCACAAAGCCTGCCAAGTTTCAAGAAGATAAGTGCAGAGGCTTGGGGGGAACTGCCCCTCAAGCTGCAGACAAGCAAAAGTGGTGCCGTGGGTGCTTGTGGAACTGTCTGTCTTGGGGCGGGGAGTGGGGAGACAGCTGCAGGCCTGGCTGCTAAGCTGCTGTGTTACCAGTCACCAATCAATCATGATTCACTCAGGGACCAGCTCAATACAGAGGACCTATCTACTACATAATGACGTAATGAGCAGCAATTAGCACCTACAAAACCAGGCTAAGGAGAGGAAAGTCTCAATACAGACAATCAACTGCCCCAGGACAGACACAGTCTCTGCGCCAGTTTTGCCTGTCAGCAGCTAGGGGTGTAGGGCCCCAGAAACCAGAACCGCCCTACACCTATCTCCTTGACAGCTGGCAGGCATCACAGCAGGGGCCACCATCCCTGAAGCTGTCACCCTGCTGTGCCTTAGCGCACACAGTGTACCCCATGGCACGAGTTTTGCTTGTCCACAGCTTGAGGTGTAGTTCCCCCCAAACCCCTGCACCGATATCCTTGAAACTTGGCAGGCTTTGTGGCATCAGTAAGAGCTACCACCCTTGCAGCTTTGACCCCCCCCACCCCCCCATGTTGGAACACACAGCAGTGACATGAGTTTGGCTTTCATGAATTTGGGGTACAGTTTCCCCCAAACCCCTACACCGATCTTCTTGAAACTTGGCAGACTTCCTGCTCTCAGCAGAGGCTACAATCCTTGCAAGTTTCATCCAAATTGGAAAAAAAAACAACAAAGTTATAGATATTTCATTGATTCCCCATTATTCCCTATGGCCAGATCTCCCAGGCAGCTCCGAAGCTTCGGAGCCACTTCGGCTGGATCAAGGCGGAAACCCGGTCCAGAGCTCTGGATTGGATCATGGCCATCTGAATCAGCTGGATCCGAAGCAGGATCGGATCGCTGCCGACTCGCACAGGCCTAGTGATCAGTCTGACCCTGAGTAGGGGGGCAAGACCTTCTAGCCAGGAGCCTCCAGCTTGGTCACAGCAGGAGCATTGGCACACCCTAGTTGAAGTCCCCATCATTGGCTGTAGCCAACACACAATGCCTCTGGGAAGGCTTAAAAACACCCTTGCACACATAGCAGAAAAGGGGGGAGGTGGGTGGGGACAACAAGCAGAACCTAGAAGCATGGGAAATATCCATAGTAGAAAATAGGCATAGCTATGACGAGATCATCCCTGACCAGTGGATATCCAAGCTCTTCTTGAACATCTCCAGGGATGGAAAGTTCACAACTTCCCTAGGCAGTGTATTCCATTGCCTCACTATTCTAACAGTGAAGACATTTTTCTTAACATCCAATCTAAACTTACTTTGCTGCAAAATCAAGCCAGTTTTCTGTGCCATCCTCTGAAGCATGAAGGAAAAGGTGCTTTCCCTCTTTTGTGTGGCAGCCCTTCAAATATTTGAAGACTGCTATCATGTACTCTCTTAAGTACCTTTTGTGGAAGCTGAACAAACCTAGCTCCTTCAGCCTTTCCTTGTATGACTTGCTTTCCCAACCCTTTATCATCTTTATGGCCTCTGGTCTCCCTCTAACTTTTCCATGCCCTTTGTTGAGCCCAGAACTGCACACAATACTCCAGATGAGGCCTAACCAGTGATGAGTAGAGGCACTATCACCTCCCATGTATTACAACTAATGCTTCTATTAATGCACCACCAAACCACATTAATCTCTTCTGTGACTGCATCAGACTGCAGATACATTCTGAGTCTGTGATCTACCAAGTCTCCCAGATCTTTCTCTGTAGTGCTGCCATCCTGCCACGTGTTATCTATTTTGCATTTGTGTTTTTTTATTTTTCTTCCCAAGGTGTAGCACCTTGCATTTGTCCACACTGAACTTTGTCCTGTTAGCTCTAGCCCAACTTTCCAATCTGGTGATTTCCTTCTAAATTGTGCTTCCATCCTCCAGTATATTTGCAATCCTTCA